CCCGCTTATGCAAATGAAGCCCGGGAAATTCAAATCCCGGGCTTCATTTGCAAGTGCGGTATATGCCTACATTACCCTCCTAGTTCGAACTAGGAGGGTAGTGTAGACATACCCATAGATATTAATATTAATATTCAGAAGATTATATATGCAATCATAAAAGCCTAGAAACTGGTTTTAGAAAATAAATGCTTGCCTATAAATTTGAATCTATCATATAGATATCAAACACAATGAACAGCAGCCTTCAAGTAAAGTTGCTGCTTAATTCTAAGAATTTAAATATTTACAAAGTTCTGAAAAAGTAAAAATTACTGACAATTACAATATTCAACTACATTTTCAAATTTACATATGTATAATGAATTTTCAGATATCTGCAATAAACCATTGTCAGATGTAAGTGATCAAAGAATCGCTGGAACAATTTTTTCATTATGAAAAACAGATTTTGACTCCTTGCTGTATAAAATTCTGCTTTTCAAAATTGTCATAAAATTCTACTATAAGCTTTTACTGTTTACAGAAGAAAGTTAGTGGGTTTTTTTTCCATTTAGTGGAAAAATAAGTTACATACCAATGGTGAATAAGGAAAATATAAAGCACCCCTTCGTTCAGTCATTTGGCTTGTACCAGTTTCAATATAGAGAGGAAGAGCAATCTGTAAAACACCAAAAATGTATTAAACATATTTAAGGAAAACATAACTTAAGACCATGAAAGTTGACAAACAACTAAGCTTCTATAATGAAATAGCATGCAAAATTTTATTCATCTGACTAAATGAGGAAGTTGCATATAATAATGCCACACAAAAGATAGTTCAAATATAACGAAAGTAAAAGCACTTCTTTAATATGTGACTTTATGCAATAAACACTATGTATCCATGAGTGATCACTGTGAGGCTAAGTCTACACTACAAAGAAAAATGCAATACGCAAATGCAAACTGCAATTTGTGTATCTTTTTCCGCTTTTCTTTCGAAAGTGCCAAATTTCAGAAAAACCTCCTCTTTCAACATATCCCTTCTTTCTCGTAAAACGAGTTTTACCGGGATGGTGAAAGAGCGCGTAAATGAGTTTTACCGGGATGGTGAAAGAGCGCGTCCGCTTTTCTAATTTTTTTTTGGAAAAGCAGATGCATTCCTTGGACATGGCATAGCTTTTCCAAGATACCTCCGGTATCCCGGAAAAGAGCTGCAGTCTAGACATAGCCTAAGCTGTGTGCTTGTGTGGCTGCTCAGGAGAAATTAAAATACAGTCCAGCTGATTAGCAGAATGCCCACAAGTAGGTTTGTTTGTTTCTACTAGTGATGCACATTCACACATGCCTAAGTGCACATAAAATTTATTCTGCACATGAATGGAAAAACTTTACACATGGATGGAAAAAAATTAGAGGGAACATTGGTATCCATGCAAAAAACCAATGTACATGCAATGTTTTGATTGAATTTTTAATTGTATCAAGGACAAGAAGATGAACATTTGGTATTCATAGCAACTACAATTCTTCTACTCATAATACTCAGCAAAGCGATCAATATTGTAATTCCATCTCTGATCTTCAAAGCATTTTATAACTACCATGGAAAGTAGCTAGGGGTGGGGAGGGAGCAGGCACCCAGTTGCATCTTCTGGCGGTCAGATATTTAGGGACACCCAGAACATAGGACTGCATCACTCACCATCTTGTCTAGTAGTCATGGATGGCTCTATTCTCCATGAACTTACCTAATTCTGTTTTTAACTCAGTTATACTTTTGACCTTTACAACATCCAGTTGGCATCGAGTTCCATTGCTTGTGTGAAGTACTTCCTTACACTTGTTTTAGATTTCATAGAATCATAGAACACTAGAACTGGAAGGGACCCGAGAGGTCATCGAGTCCAGTCCCCTGCCCTCATGGCAGGATTTGCTGCCTATTAATTTCATTGGCTGACCAGTAGTACTTGTGTTACATGAAGGGGTAAATAACACTTTCTTATTCATGTTCTCACACCATTCATGATTTTATAGGCCTCTACTATGTCCCCTTTACTCATCTGTTTTCTAAGTTAACAGTCCCAGTCTTTTTAACCTTTATTCATATTGATGCTGTTCCTTAGCTCTAATCATTATTGTTACTCTCATATTTTTGTTTCCTGATATATTGTATTTGAGATAGATGCACACAATATTCCAGGAATTGGTGTACCATGGATTTATATAGTGGCATTAAAATATTTTTTTTATCTCATCTATTCCTTTATTCTGATATTTTCAGAGATTATCCACAATGACTTCAAGATCTCTCAAATGACCCAATCATTTTGTATGAATAGTTCCAATTATTTTTGAATATGCTTTACTTTGCATTTATCAACAATGAGTTTCACCTGTCATTTTGTTGCCCAGTCACCCAGTTTTGTGAAATCCCTTTGAAACTCTTCACAGTCTGCTATGGACATGAGTAATTTTGTATCATCTGCATACTTTGTCACTTGCTATTTGCCTCTTTTTTCTAGAACATGTATGCATATGTTGAACACTATTGGTCCTAGTACAGATCCCTGAAGGACCTTATTGTTTACCTCTCTCCATTCTGAAAACTAATAATTAATTCCTACCCTTTGTTTCCTGTCTTTTCAGCAATTATTGATCCATTAGAGGACCTTTCCTCTTATCCAATGACTGTTAACTTTGGTTAAGAAACTTTAGCAGGGGAATTTGTGAAAGATTTTTTTAAAGTTCACATATACTATATTGACTGGATCAACCTTGTCCCACATGTGTTGACCTCCTCAAAGATTTCTAATAGACTGGTGAGACATGATTTCCATTTATAGAAAGACTCTTCCCACACAAATCATGTTATTCTATGTGTCTGAGAACTTGCTCTTTATTATATTTCCAACCAATTTGCCTGATTTGGAAGATAAACTTATTGGCTTATAAGTGCCAGGATCACCTCTGGATTCTTTTAAAAAATATCAGCATTGTATTAGCTGTCCTCTAGTCATCTGTCATTAACTTAAGCAATATGTTACATACTACAGTTAGAAGTTCTGCAATTCCATATTTGAATTCCTTTAAAACTCTTGGGTGAACACCATTATGCCCTGGTGACTCACTACTGTTTAATTCATTAATTTGTTCCCTTGCTGACACCTCAACCTGCAACAATTCCTCAGATTTGTCACCTAACAGAATGTCTCAGGAGTGACAATCTCCCTCACAACTTCTCGGAAGTGAATCATTTTGTATCCTCCTAATTCTTGCTTTTAGATTTGCTTGGCTTCATAATATATGCTTATCACTAGGCTTTTCAGTATTAGAAGGTCCACATACCTTCCACTAAAAAAAATAAATAAAAAACAATCAATTGTATAATTGGCTTTACATACGGTTTGATTGAGGGATGCCTGGTTAAATGCTGCTGCCTGACGGTACAAGGAATGTCTAAGGAACATCTCATCCTTAATGGCATGCAGGCTGAAAACAAGAGTTTCAGTGTTACATTCAAAATCTATCTATATATTATAGAGTCTATGAATGCATACATTACAATTTATGAATTAGTTATTTTATAGCCATTTATAGTCAAACTTGAGTGGCCTCATTCCTCAAAGGACTGTTAAGACTAGTGATGATACTATGAGATGCTTCCTCATGTCAGGATGCATTTAGCACCTTGCAGAATATAGTTGTTTGAGTCTAAGTTAAATCTCTGTTTCCTACATTTCAGGAAGTCAAAAATATTGTGATTAATCTCCCATTTGGGTTCAGTAAATAGAACAATTCCTCCCCCACACTTACTCACTTTCAATTATTTTCTTTGTATCCAATTCCAAACTGTATTTCTAAATTTCAGAAGTTTCAGTGATTTTACCCATCCCTGCTTGCCTCGTTCTCTAACTCCATATCCATAAACTTTTTTGCTTGTTCACACAGTTCCCCTAATCCGGGGTTGGGGAAACTAAGGCCTGGGGGACATATGTGGCCCCCGGCTAGCCTGGATCCAGCCCCCGAAGCACACTCATGGGGCTGGAGCACACAAAATCTACTAGCTTAGGCTCCACTGGACTCTGGTGTGCAAAGGAAATATAGGGAGTGTCTTTCTTCTCATTTGGGGGCCATGTCAGTGAGGATTTGATTTTTGTTAGTTTCTCTCTTGTGTGTGGCCCCTGACTGTTTGTTTCTCTCTTGTGTGTGGCCCCTGACTGACTTTTCTGTGAGTCAGTGGCCCCCAACCCAAAAAAGGTTTTGCACTCCTATTCTAATCTTTGCATCTCCTTCGACTCTCTTCTTCTAAACAACTATGTAACCCCCTCTCTCTGTATCTTGCAATAGAAACTTTCCATTTTCCTTTACATTACACATGACACTGTGGAGATTCTGTGTTATTACATATTAAGGTATTTTAATGTATTTTAATTATGGAAATAAGTACATTTTTAATATGGCAGCTCTCTTTGGGAAGACTTGAACATTTTAACACATACAACAACAAAAAAGCCCCCCCAAAAAAAGCTATGATAAAGGGCTTGTCTTCACAGAGAATTAGTGTGTTCAATCCAATGTGTGAATTTATAGTGTACTAACACACTAATTTGCTATGGAGACAAGCCCTAACCATCCTGTCCTCTTATAAGATAAAAGCCAACACTAGTATTGGATACATCTGACTACAAAAAGTATTTTAATTAAAAAATGAAAATAACAGAGAAAGAAAAGATCAGGTTAAAATGGAAACATGTAAATTAAAACATTCGTGCTTCTATTTTTAAAATGCGGTTCTGTTTTTTAATACCACAAGGAATATGAAGACATATATTAAACATATGACTATATGACTCTTGTATGTAATATTTTCAGAAAGAACTGAAATAATGGGATGTGACATTCTGCTAACCCCTTTCACAAGCTATGACAAATGCATCTTTTTACTGACCAACAATGAACAATTCTCATGAGTGTTCCTTTTGTTCCTTTTATAAGTTTGAGGCTTAACAATAAAGCAAACACATATAATGGAGAGAATGAGAGCAAAAAGTCAATACATATTCAGCAAGCAGCAGCACGTATTGCTAGATATATACAGTAAGGGCATGTCTACACTAAGAAATTATTTTGAAATAACTTATTTTGAAATAATCGCTGAAATAGTGTGTTCATACTACAGGGAAGCCTTGAAATTAGCCCAAGGCAGGTTCCCTTAATGTGGACACACTACCTCCACTTAGAGCCCCAGGAAGTACTGGGGCATAATTACTTTGAATGACTCTGGGGAGTTTTTTTTAAATAGCAGCAGTGGAATGTCCACATTCCCGCTATTTCAAAATAAGCGTTATTCCGTGTGGAAAGCAGGAGTCATTATTTTGAAATAACCTGCCTCTTATTTCAAAATAATGGGTTTGATAGTGTGGACGCTCTGCTTGTTATTTTGAAATAAGGGAAGTTGTTTCAAAATAACTCCCTAGTGTAGACCAGGGCTAAATGTATTGGTACTATGCTATACTCTGTGGAGTTGAAAAATCCTTGAGGAACAGAATATCCAGAGCTTTAAAATATCAGCCATTTATAAATCTACTGTAATTTTATCTTGTAGTCCCTCCCAAGGACATTTAAGGGCAGTGTCCCCCTCAGCTCCTTCCTACCAAAATCTCAAACTGAAGACTCTGATGCATAGTGTAATGCATGCAGTGGGTATATAGCCATGCAATATTTACTGTATAACTATCATGAAAGGAAAAAAGGCACAAGGAACTGATAGCAGAAATGCACGAGGCCACAGGTACAGGCCTGTGAGAATGGCTCAAGCATTTACCATAGTATGAGACCTTACAGCCTGAAAAACAGTAATTACTCAATAGCATAAAGAAGTAAACTAACAATGACCTTATGTCACAAAATGGCATAAAACTGTGATTATTGCAAAACAATAAACAAAAGAGTTGCAAACTGATGACAGGTAATCACAAGATGCTAGTTTTTACCAGTTTGGGATATTTTCAGGACAGCAGAAGATGTCTGAATGTATGGAAAAGAGTTTGGAATAGAGGAGACTGAGGGGGGATATGATAGAGGTATATAAAATCATGAGTGGTGCGGAAAGGGTGAATAAAGAAAAGTTATTAATTAGTTACCATAATATAAGGACTAGAGGACACCAAATGAAAGTAATGGGTAGCAGGTTTAAAATTAATAAGCGGAAGTTCTTCTTCACACACTGCATAGTCAACCTGTGGAACTCCTTGCCAGAGGAGGCTGTGAAGGCTAGAACTATAACAGAGTTTAAAGAGAAGCTAGATACATTCATGGAAGTTAGGTCCATAAAAGGCTATTAGCCAGGGAGTAGGAATGGTGTCCCTGGCCTCTGTTTGTCAGAGGCTGGAGATAGATGGCACAAGACAAATCACTTGATCATTGTCTTTGGTCCACGCCCTCCATGTCACTTGGTGCTGGCCACTGTTGGAAGACAGGCTACTGGGCTAGATGGACCTTTGGTCTGAGCCAGTATGGCCCAGTTCTTATGTTTACAGTACAGAGTTTTTTTGAAAAATGGCAGTTTTTCTGAAAAAAACTACACTTGCGTTCACACTGCTATTGCGTTCTTTCAACAGCAAGTTGAAAGAATGGAGAGGGTTTTACCAACAGTGGTAAACCTCTTTCTACAAGGAAGAAGCCTTTTTCCGAAAGAGCTCTTTCGGAAAAAGTTTTTGTTTTGTTTTTTTCCAAAAGAAGAGGCCTGCAGGAAATAACACAGGTGCCCTGGTGGCTGCTCTGTCCACAGTAATCAGAACTCTATAGTTCCTGCCTCCTGGCACCTCTTAAAGCTGCAGGCACCCTGGACAAGGGTGTGGCAGGGAGGCTGCCCCGGGGGAG